AAAGAGAAATCATATTAAATTTTTGTGTATTTAACAAGGAGTTAATTATAGGAGGGAATATAGAAGAGAAAACATGCATCACTTTCCAAGGTCTCTCCATATACCAGACCTCCTCTTGTCCCATCCATCTTACAAAAAAAAAAAAAATCTTTTTAGAAATCCACCTTTGTAGCTCTCAGTTTAAGCCTATGTTGTCAGTTAAGAGCACAACTGAAAAGGGTTAAAAGATGGCAAATAGGTTTATCAGATATTTAGCAATTTGGAAAGTCAGGCTTTAAAGAAAATAACGCAAGGTAGGGGAAGCTTGGAGGCAGAGCAGATGAGAACACAGGAGACATTCTCAACCCACTTTAAGGGGTTACTAACAATGCTACACTTATTCACTGTACTGATTTAAACATGTGAACTACTGAAGGGCGTAATAATGAGGTTTTTACCCTGTCATCTGCGCATTCAAGCAGGTCACCGTGGCAGCATTCAGTGTGGACTTTGGTAAGATCTTTCGCTATCTTGGTAATTTCTGCAAAGTCAGCTTTGGGATATTTCTGGCTCAAGAGAGCTACTGCCCTAAAAAGAAAATCCCCCCCCATCAAAATATTATTCTTATGCAATATTTTACATAAAATTATTAGGGAAAAAAAAAGAAAAATTCGGACAAATTAACACATGGAAATAATTTGAAAATTCATTCTTATCTTAATGCTAATTCTGAATCAAACAATTACTTTTGGGCAGAGTTATCCACTGTGAGAATAGATAGAAATATAGTAATTCATTAAATCAGAAATCAATGAGGGATTTGAGAAGGGGCAATAGGCTAAGAGATATCAGGTGTGGAGCCCAAACTTCTAGATCTGCCTTTATCCTCTATTGGTCATGTGACTATAGACAAGTCTGAGCCTTGGCCCCTGCAATTACCAGCAAGCTAAATGACTATGTCTTGCTAAATCCAAGGACTGTTTGGGACATCAAATTAGATAACGCAGACTAAATCAGATTGTTCGGTGCTGCTAAGACTCTATGCCCCACTGTCTGGGACCACCTGAGAGGCCTAGGTTCAATTTGGGGTCCAAACTGAAGGTCAGGTACAATAACACATGCCTAGAATCCCAACAACTAGGTAGGCTATGGTGTAAGTATCACCATACAGTCAGTCCATGTCTTAAATAGATTAATTAATTCATTAATACATATAGAAGTATCTTATAGTCTAGGATGTACCACCCACACTCCAGTTATCTTTATTTTCTCAATTAAAATACATTCTCTGGGGCCAGAAGGTGGCATTGGTAGTTGAGGCACTGGATTCCCACATGGCCAACTGCCATTCGAATCCCATACCTGGTGGCTTGCTTTCACACTTTCCCTTTGTATCTAATGTGCCCTACAGCAAACTTTAAAAAATAACAATAAATAATGTGTCCTACAGCAAACTTTAAAAAATAACAATAAATTAAATTATATAACTAATTTTAAGAGATAAAATTTTTAAAAGCACACACATGCTTCTTGATTTCTAAAGATCTCTGAGAAAAGAAACTTCATAACTTCTACAGAATTAGGAAGTTTATATTACAGATAATTTTACCAAGAAATTGATTCAGCACAATCTTTAAGTTCTATGACAAGATGTAAAAAGCTAATATCCTCATTCTTTCCCAGGTCATTTCAGAATTGCCTAAATCAGATATAAAACAGACTTCGTTCCCAGAACCAGTCACAGCCCATTTAACGATGCATCCTTTCATCCCGGGGTTGTTAGATTTATCAGTTTCGTGATTTTGGTAATGTAGATGATAGGAATGATAGGCAAAGCATTCAATTGACATAACGTCTATTATTTTAATTTTTTGTCCTACTCATGTTGGTTCACTGTGGACTAGTAGATGAGGAGTTGGGGGGCAGATAATATTTTTCTTCTCAGATAGTGAAGATGCTCTCAAAACCTGATATGTAATATAAGAAAAGAGGCCCAGGCCAAAAAGCATGAGATTAGGAGCAGAGTTGGAGCTGTAGGAAATGGGAAGAACTTTGACCTAACTGATGGCTGAATTTAATTATCACAATATGAAAAGGGCAAGCATCCACTTTTTGAAAACTTGAGAAAGACAAAATTAAATAAGACCCTAACACTCTAGCTCTCTACAAATAAAGAATCCTTAGAATAAGATCCCAAGTCTTTATAAATGAATGGGATTTAAATACCATTTACATACCATCAGGACAAAAAAAATAATAATATCCTTTAAATTCTTTGACTACTTAGAAAAGATGTAAAACAATGCCAAATTGTCATTAATATTCTGTTCTTCAACATTATTAAATTCTACCTTCTAGACCACAAAAAAAAAGTATATGAAAGCACTGTGTAAAATGCTGTATAAATGTATAATATTATCAACCAAGCCATCACTGTTTATATCATAAATACACAAACTAGGTTAAAAATACTTACCATGCTTTGAAAGCTCTTTCTCCGAACTTGTGGAGACTGGTACACTTGAGTCTCTGTTTGGCAGATGAGAACAGTGCCTTTTCCTTCAAAGCATCAAGCTGCGAAAAGAAAAATATTGGAAAAATTATGACAAAAAAAGTCTACCCAAAATACCTCTTTATCATCTCAGATGAAACTATACTAAATTAATTTTTAATGTTTCCTTTTTTTATGAGAGAGAGAATAGAGAAGGGGAGAGAGAGAGAGAGAGAAGAACCTCCACAGGATCTTTATGCCACCATCTACCCCCAGCCTCAGCCAGCCTGGATCACCAGCATGCACACACACCTTGCAGGTACAGGGAGGCCCCAGGATGCAAACCCAGGATCTTCTCATGTGGCCCCAGCATTGCAGAGCATTAGCTTACCACTGTGCTATCATCTGACTCCAACCAAATTGAACTTTAAAGAGATCATTTACACCTACGTTCTGAAGTGCTACCTTTGGCAAATAATTGTTTTACTATGTAAGAAAAAGAAGTATCAGAGTGGTCATAGCAGACAGAAGCCTTAGGTAGTTAAAAACATCATAGGCCCAGCCTCAGCAGAACAAGTGGGAAAGCACCACTGCACAGCGACTGAGCCTGCGTGGGAGGCCCAGGTTTGGTTCTCGCCTCAACCTAAACGGGCTGAGGGTGGTGGTACACATCTGTGATCCTAGCTGGCTGGGGGGCTGGCACAAGAGGACTGTGACATAGGAAAGAACTGACAAAAATCACTATCTTCTACTCTCCCCACCCCATACCCTTTCTCTCTCATTAAAAAGGAAGGAAGGCAAGAAGCATTGTCAGAGAAAGGGGATCTGAGAGGAAAAGTGGGAAAACGGAGTACACTAATGTACCAGGGAACGTAACTTTCCTGACATCTTAATCTTGGATCAAATTCATTTCAGTCCCTCCTCCATCAACTTTTGGAATATCAGTGACTTCCTCAGAAAAGGTAATGAAGCACATAATAAATATTTATGGAATGAATAAATGAAGCCAGTTTTTCAGAAGCAGGAAAATTCTCTACTTTCAATTCTCTCTTCAAAATAAAGGCTCATTTTAAAAAATAAATAAGGGACCAACAGATGGCTAATGGTTATGTCACAAGACTCCCACATAGTCGACCTTGGTTCAAGTCCCAGACCTGGAGGCTTAAAACACACCAGGTTCGTGTACATGCATGCCCAAATCCTGAGAGGAGACTAGAGGAGAAGGGATTGTGGCATGGCCAACCCCCCTGGCGAGGTGGGGGGCAGGGGGAGGAGGTGATTTCTTGCTTTCTTCTCTGTCTCTCTCACTCTACAGCAAAATTCTCTCTCAAAAAAATAAACAAACAAAAACTTTGGCCTATTGCTGTGTAAATTGACAAATAACTTTCTGTATTTCACGTAGGATCACCACCATAAAAAGTGGTGGACTGCAATCAGCAGATGGCATAATGGTTATGTTGCTGGATTCCCACGTGGTCAGCCTCAGTTCAAGTCCTGGACCCAAAGGCTTGAAACTCGCACCAGCTGCATGTGCGTGCATGCCCAGAATCCCAAGAGAAGAATGGAAGAGAAGGGATTGCAGCACAGACATCCCCCCAGGGAGCGGGGGTGATTTCTTGCTTTCTGTTTCTCCTTCTCTCTCTGTGTCTCCAGCGAGCACACACTCTATAGCAAAAATCGCTCAAAAAAAGAGAGAGAGAGAGAGAGAAATGGTGGACTATTGGGCAGCAGGTGGCATGGTGTTTAAGTCATTGGATCCCATATCACTGAGTGATGGGTCCTGGACTCTGCAGTTTGAAAATCATTCTGGATGTGTGTATGTGTGTGCGTGTGCCGTGCCCACGATTTCAAGAGGAGAATGGAGGAGAAAGGATTGCATCACATCCATTGCTACTCCGGGGGTGACTTATCACTTTGTCTCTCTCTCACTTGCCCCACCCCCACCCCATCAAGCACCCTGGTCCTATGGCAAAAACGAAAATAAAATAATATAAAATATGGTGGGCTATTTAGACATACGCTCAATGATTCTTCAGGTCAGCATTGGCACATCTTAAAAGGAGGATGAAGGAGACAGTCTTCAAAAGTGAGGAACAGTATTCGGAGGGAGACAAGAGTGAGGAGAGCTTTTTTGTCCGTAAAGCAAAGCTTATGCCAGAGACTTAGGTTCCCTACATCTAGCAGTAAGGTAATCAGAACAGAGGGTGGATGAGGAATTGCTGCTTCGAGCCTTCCTTGGGAAAATACCTTCGGTGTCAGGCAGGCAGCTTTGTCAGCCTCGGCGCAGCACTCCTTCAATGCGGTTTTGTACTTTTGAGCATAGTAAAGGAGCTCTGGGGCATAAAAGTAAGGATGTCTCCTGGCAACTTCATATAAGTACCTAAATATTTAAAAAGAAAAACAGGCAGTCGTTTTTCTATAACAGACAGTATTATAGACGTAATTGTAATGGATATTCTCCCCAGAAGAATAGATAGAACTCAAAACTCATAAACATTTCATTTACAAATTACTCTCAATTTGTACTCAGTAGCCCTGTCTTTTTCATCCTTTAAATGAGTGAAAAGAAACGTTAAATGTACGCATGTGTGTGTTAAGGTTGGTCATACATTGCCGACCAGCGTAACTATTTATAGCAATATGTATATTGCTATTTATAGCTATACCTATATAACTATATCTATAGTTATACATTTTAAAACATTCATCTCAAATTTTTCATATACATCATGTCTTATTTCAGTGAACTCCAAAAGATCTTCAATTATATTTTCTGTTGTGTACAATGTTCTGGTATGGAATATTCTATAACAATTACTGTAAGAACAAAATATCCGACCAATGTTGAAATTAAATATTATTTATCATGGTCATCGTAATAAGCGTTCACCTATCAATGTATTCCATAATTTTTAATTTGGAGGCAGGAATATCTGATTACTTACTTTCCCAAAAACATATTTTCACTTTCCTGGAAAGAGGTACACATGACATCGGCCTCTGGTCTGACCAGGGCAGGAAGGGATGGTTTGTCATCCTTGTGCTTCAGGAAGCATTCATTTCTCTCAGGTTCTTGCTTCGCACAGCAGTCAGCCATGTCGCCATAGGTTTCACGAAGAGTTGCAATTGTACATAATTTATCTCCGAAAAGAGTCGGCTAAAGGGAAGAGGGCAGGCGTTAAATTGCTGGGCAGTACGTTATTTTCTTCACAGCCAAAGAACAGTATAAAGAATTTGATGTACTGCTAAAGTTTAGCCAGCAAGTCCTAGGCAAGTCACTTTTTCTTTCCAGGTTTAGAATTTCCTCTCATTTGACAGTCACTGTATAAAGTGTATAAGAAGTAACGGTCGTACTATCATTGTGGTGGGTAAAATAAAAAGGCAAGGGGACAGCAGGTGGTGTAGTGGTTAAGGCACTGGACTCAAACACGGTCGACCACAGTTGGAGTCCCAGACCCAGCAGCTCCAAACTCAAGCCGGGCGTGTGTGTGTGTGTGCATGCCCAAACTCCCAAGAGGAGCATGGAGAAGAAGGGATTGTGCTTTGGCCATCCCCCTGGGGGTGATTTCTCACTTTCTCTCTCTCTGTCTCTCTGGCAAGCACAAATACCCTATGGCAACGATCTCTCTCAAAATTTAAGAAAGCAGAAAAGTAAAAGACAGTCAATGGCTTTGGATGTTACTCTCATTTCTACCTGATGCTAAAGGTTTGGAGAACAATTATTATAACAAGAAACCAAGTGAAAATAACATTCTAACTAACAGATGAATTCACATCAAGGAGAAAAAGATTCATAGACTTTCTAATTTGGCCTGTTTCTGTTGAAAAGGCCAGTTTTTTAATAGATGTCATTTTAAACCAGAGTAACATAATCTACTATATATTAAAGTATTACATTAAAACACATATTTTTTTATTATTCTGTAAGTACTTTTATTATTCTGTAAGTACTTTTTTATTATTCTGTAAGTACTTTCCACTAAGTAAATAAATACTTTTCTTCACCACTAGTTTTTATTATAAGAGTAATTATAGCCCCAAGGAAAATACACTACTGTAAATAGAATTTATTAATTTTTCAAAAAGTGCATTTTTAAAAATTCATAGGTAGAAGCATAATAATGTATGGAGTTAAAGTACTGGAGGAGAGACACATCCAGGGAAACAAGAGGAAATGCTAGAGGGATAAAAAGAAAATGCCCTTGTGCCCAGAGACGTTTACATAGACTGAGTGAAGATTTTTTTCTCCTTGTTCAGAAGACCACTCTGGAAATATGAAAAGTTCAAAGTTCTCAAAATGACTGAGTCATTTTCATTGTATGTAAAAATTGTATTGTATTGTAAAAACAGAACTATCCCTAAAATGAATAATATGTAACTGTATTATTCATTCAACAGTTAACAAAACTAACATAGAAATCAGTTGCTTTCTGCAGATGAAAACCAGGCTTTTATCTCAAAGAGCTATTAGCTCATTGCAACACTATTCACAACCTACAGCCCCTCGATAGATGAATAGATAAAGATAATGTGGTTTCAGAACCAGCAGATGACAATAGGAATAACATTTCAATTAAGCAGGGTGAATCAGTTCTGAAGATGTGCTGTGTGGCATTGTACCTCATCAACAATTACTCATTACACACATACAACTTTATCAAAAGGATGGATCTTGGGTTAAGTGTTCTTGCCACAATAAAATAAAATAGTTCATTAAAATGTTATCACTATTACTCCCTAAGGAAAGAAACAAAACTTCACATTTTGAAAAAAGATTTTTAACTAATGGTAAATAGCCGTTTCAATAGTCTATGACTGTTGTATGTGGTCGTAACAAGAAATACTTTTAAAACTAGATGTAGTTAAGACTATCTCTATCCCAAGAGGAAAAAAAATGGCTTCTCAGTTTAGAGGCAGCATTTGAGTATTGCTTACAAATCAAGTCATTTAGTAATAATAGACAAAAGTAACAAGTTATTTTTTAAATGCACAGGATTACTTTTTTTAAAGAATTATTTAATTTTATTTATTTATTCATTTTTTTATTTTTTAATTTAACCAGAGACAGAGACATAGGAGGAGGAAAGTGGGTAATCAAGTCACCAGGCCCAGGACTCAAACTGTGCTTGGCCATGTGGGAGTGTCCAGCGCCTTAACCACCATGCCACCTGCTGGTCCCCATAAATGCACAGGATTACTTAAAAAGAGGAAAGATTGGCCAGCAGGTGGCGTGATGGTTAAGGCATCAGATCCCATAGGGCTGACTCTGTGGTTCAAGACCCGGACCCAGTGACTTGAATGCCAAGTGCATGTATGCACACGCCCAAAATTCTGAGAGGAGAATGGAGGAAAAGGGATTGCCGTGTAGCCACCTCCCAAAGGGTGATTTCTCACTTTCTCTCTATCTCTGTCTGGTGAGCATATGTGCCCTATGGCAAAAAGACACAAATAAAAGAGAGAGAAAGTGGAAAAATCTTCAACATCAGAATGTACTTACAAGTGACTTGTCGCAATTTTCAGCTGTCTCATCGGCGACACATGTTTTTGCAAACTCAGTTACTTCACCCACTAACTTAACATGTTCTTCAAATGGGCACTGCTGGAGATACTGAGAAAAGGCAATCAGCACCCTGAAACAGAGGACACAGACGTCTGTAGCCAACAAAACTCTAAAACCCAACAGGTTGCTGTGCTAAAGAGCAAATTCTGTATGTGTGTGGTTTGTAGTTTATACATCCTTCATTATCCAGAAAGCCTAATCCTGTCAAGCACCATCTGAGACCTAACAGGCATATGTGGCTTCCTAGGCAAAGACAACATACATTGCCTCAACACTTAAACGCATGTGTGCACACGTCAGGAGAGGCACACACATACAGCAAGCAAGCGAACTATACACTAAATGCACCTCGTGGTCAAGACGAGGCATTTGATAAGTCCTTGGAATCGTCTAAAACAAAACCTACACACTTCATTTAATTAGGCCATAGAATGAGATAGACCTTTAGAATAAAATTATTTTCTCATTGTCTACTAGATTAAAAAAATATTTTAAAACATTCCCAAGAAACCACAGGTCTATCTGCTGTGCAAAGGAGATGTAGTGAATGACCTGCCAAAGGAGTCGTATATTACATGTTTTTCCACCAGGCAGGTAGTAAAAGAGCTCCAGAGATGCGCTGTGTAATACGGTAACCATTAACCGCCTGCAACTATATTAATTAAAATTTATTAAAATGAAATGCAATTTAAATCTCTGTTGCTCAGCTGCACTAGCGGTATTTAAAGCATTCAGTAGCCACATGCGGTCAGCGGTTATCCTGTAGGGCAGCACCGGTACAGAATCAGAAGATTCCATTGGACAGCACTGTTCTCATCTGCACTCTGATGACAAGGGACTCTAAGGACTTTAGAACAATACGCAATGCTATGAGAAAACATTACATTTAACTCTAATGTTTTAACTCACAGGCCTTTGAAATTTTCTTCTCCCAAATCTTTAAACCGATGAGCGATCTCACTCTTGTCTAGGGAAGAGAAAAAGAAAAAAAAAAATTGGTTAAAAATGGAAGAAAACTAGATAAGATGCTACTTTTTATGTATTGTCTATTTGACTTAAATATTGGGCTCATCTCCACAGAAAACCTTAGGATGATGGTGAACTGTGAAGGGCACTTCAAAAAGTCTCTGAACACAGGGAATTAAAATACGAGTTACTTCTGCTGAAAAAAAAAAAAAGTTGAATCCATGCACAATTTTTTATAAAATGCATTTCCTAAAAACTTCTTAAAGACCCCGCATACTTCTTTCTGAAGGAAAACTTAAATCTTTAAAGATGCAAGGTTTTCTACAACTTCGTTTTGCAGGAAATACAATACAAAAGTGGAACAATAGAAAACTAGAATTCTTACGTGTTTCACGACGAACCACACCCCTGGAATAAGCAGAGCTGAAGAGAAAGAGAAGCGAAATAAAAGTCACCCACTTCATTGTGCCAAAGGCTTGTGGGGTTGATAGGAGGAAAAAGGTAGGACAAGTGGAGGGAACTTAGCACTAATATACCTCTTTAGCCAATAATCGTAGATTATTAACCAGGCCCATCTCTATTTCATTGGCTCCCTACCGATTACAAAATTCCTAACACTCTTGCCAATAGAATTGTTTAACTAGATCCCTTGCGTATGTTTGCCATCTGGAGCTGTTTGGTTTTTGTTTGTTTTGGTTTTTGGGGGTTTTTGTTCAGCACAGGACCTTGTCCATTCATTAAAGTTGTGTAAAACATCTTATCAAGTTTTACATAAGAGTTTAAATGATTTGTACCTATTATTCATTATCATGTTCTTTACCTGCAATTTCTCATTTAAACCTTTGAGTTCTGATATTTGCAAGAATATAACCAAATCAATAACTTTGCTTTGAAATAAGACATATTAAAGAGCTAAGTCTCTGATTATATCTATTACTAATTACAAATGTGCTTTTATCTATAGGTAGTGAAAAATTTATACACACGCATCGTTATAGAGTTCCTATGCCTTTTTCACTCTTCTGAAGCCACTCTATCTGAAATGGCCAATTTTGCATCAGCTGCAAACTGAGAAAAAATAACAGTAGCAACTAGAATAGATTATTTAGGGGACCAGCAGTTAGGGTAATGGCTATGTCACTGGACTCCCATGTAGTCGACCACAGTTCGAGTACCGGAGCTTAAACTCATGCTGGGCGCATGTGTGTGCGTGCCCAAGATCCGAAGAGGAGAATGGAGGAGAAGGGATTGCGGCATGGCCATCCCCCGCTGGGGGGTGATTTCTCGCTTTCTGTCTCTCTGTCTCTGTCTTTCTGACAAGCACACGCCACACCCACCAAAAAAAAAAAAAAAAAAAAAAAAAAAAAAAAAAAAAAAACCTCTCAAGTAAATAAATAAATAAAATAGATTATTTAGAAGTCCCTTGTTTCCATCTCAGCTCTGGCCAACATGTGATTCAGGTCACACATGGGATACTAAGATCTGACATGCATATCTTTTCGTGAGAGTTAAGGAGAAATGGGAAAGAAAAGGACCCAAATGGCAGTGATGCTGATGCATAAGGGGACTGAGCCCTGGTTATACTTTTCCAGATTCTAGGAGTTCTAGAACCTCACTAGGCATTGTTTCCTTTGCATCCCTGTTTGATACTTTTTTCCCCTTCTCCTTTTTAATAAATAGAAAAAACACATGCTTTTAATAATGTTCCTATACACTTTTAAATAAATATAGCATCATAAAAACAAAGCTGAGCAAAGATAGTTTTAAAAGTGTTTTTTGAATCCTCCACATTGTCCCCAACATTCTAATCTTTGTCTCTGCAGGGCTGTTCTTCCTCTGTACTTCTGCTCTATAGATGAAGCTCCTCATCTCAACCAGTAGAAAAACAATAACTTTCCCTGATAAGACAGGACAGTGTTTAGTATCAAGGTAGTTAATTCACCTAATTAAACAATCAAATCAGTCACGTTGCGGCTGCATGGTTCATTTAGGCACAGAGGCAAATGCTGTAAGAAAGTAGTTGGGATTTTTCTTTCCTATTCAGTCTTATCATGAAAGAAATACACTTTTTATGATCTAATTTTATTTTATATTTCCTTCCAGATATGTCTTTCAGGCCACAAATGAACAGAAATCCTTTCAAAATCGCACATGAAATTCTGTTCACTGAGGAAAAACATTTATCAAGCCAGAAAACCTACATTGGAAAAGAAAAGAGTAAATATCCTAACTTTTTTAATAGAGAAAATAAATCTTTCCTGTATAAACTAAGTCAACTTTTTTCTAACTTCTTAGAAAGTATGAGTACTATTTTTTTTGAAGTCAGTGATCTTTTCCTGATAGGAATTCCTAGCGACTATCTAAGCACACAGGCAATTCTTATTACTAATTTGGTTAACAATGACAAAATAATATATTACTAATTCACAAATTCAGACCTGTGTTGCATGCAACTGCTTTATGCATATTTTCATTTACCAAATTAAAAGAATGATATCAGTCTATCTACTTTTCACTGCAATATCACATCAAAATACAATAGTTAGTACAGAAAACCTTAAAAAAAATTATATGTATCATGACTGAATAGTAACTTTGAATTCAACCGCTGACTAATCTTTAATAAGGATACACACATGCAAAACACCTTATTGGTGCTAGAAGAAAAGATTCATTCAGATGTTATCAATTTCATCTTTTGAAGCTATGAAATCATCAGTAAATAAGAGGTTAAAATATTTCATTCTTTTGTAAAATGTTATTTATTTATTTCCTCCATGCAAGAGAAAGAAAGACACAGAGAGAGAGAGAAAGAGAGAGAGAAGAACCCCCGACAGGGGCCTCATGCCATGACCCACCCGCAGCCTTAACCAGCTTGGATCACAGGCAACCAAACACACAGGCATCTGGTGTGAACAAGGAGATCCTGGGAACAAACCAGGAACCTTGTCTGATGGGTCCAGATGCATTACCACTGAACCACCATCTGGCCTCTAAAATATTCAATTCTTTATCTACATTCTTAAAATCTATCTTAATTAATAAGAACCCCTGAACATTTGCATTTTATGAATTCCTAAAGTAAGAATTTCTACATTTTTCTCTGAAAACTTCTGCCATTAATTCTGCATATATACTGTACCCTAAAAGGAATAAAACCACATAATTGTTAGTTATTTCTAAATATCTTGGTCAAACTTTTAACTCTGTATTTAGTCAGTCATCAGAGGACTCTGGCATGAGTGTAAATGCAAATATTTGAACTAAAAGTTCGAGTCCTGGACTTGACAACTTGAAATATTCTCTGAGCACGTGTGTGAGCATGCATGCATGCCCAAAATCCCAAAAGGAGAATGAAGGAGAAAGGATTGAGAAGTGACCATCCTCCAGGGGGGTGATTTCTCACTTTCTCTCTCTCTTTTTCTCTGTCTTTCACTCTCCATCTAGTGCACATGCCCTATAACAGAAAAAAAAACTAACAACAACAAAAAAAAGATTAAACCCTTTGGATTCATGAAGTTTCTCATTAAGTCATCCAAGCCAGGCTCACCCTCCATCTGGCAATATTCTTGGTCTAGCTCTTATCCCATCTCCCTCTGTGATAAATTACTACTTCTGAGTCTCCTCTTAGAAATAAGATGAAACAGGGCCAGCAGGTGGTGTGGTGGTTAGGGGTCTGGACTCCAACATGGCCAACTGTGGTTTGAGTCCCAGACCCAGCGACTTGCTTTCTCACTTTCCCTCTCTCTCTCTAATGACTATAGCAAGTTAAAACTAATAAAATAAATAAATAAGTAATTTTTTAAAAAGTTATACTGTGAAACACTCATGAAGATGTGGTAATGTCTAATAATGGTCTCATTATTTTGATAGAGACCTTCTAGAAACAACCACTTAATACAAAGTTATTCCAAATTATAGAAAAAGGTAGATCCATTTGGAGAAAAAATAGAAGCAGGAAAACCTTTTTTTTTGAGATTTTTGCTATAGTGCACGTGTGCTCTCCAGAAAGACAGAGAGAGACAGAGAGCAAGAAATCACCCCCCCAGGGGGGATGGCCACACCACAATCCTTTCTCCTCCATTCTCCTCGGGCACGCACGCACACACGCCCAGCGTGAGTTTAAGCCACCGGGTCCAGAACTCAAAGGACGGTCAACTACATGAGAGTCCAGCAATATAGCCATGACGCCACCTACTGGTCCTGGAAAATCTTTTCTCATCCTTTTTACTATGCCGTAGACATATGTAGATCCTACCTATCACAAAATGCCTGGATTTCTTTCTAAAAAAAAACAGTCTAAATAGTCTTTGACTACATATCAAACTAACCATATGAAACATAATAAGTAATTAAATTTTTTATTCACTTATGAAGATATATTTTCCTATGAAAAGTAAGGAAATTGACCAGGATGTATTAATTTACATAAATATTTCAGACGCAAATAAAAAATTATAAAGCAACCCAAATATCAGTTGTTTATTCATCTCCCTCCGTAATCCATGTGTTCAATTCATCTACTCGAATTAGTGAGGAATATAGGATTTACTAAAGAGTTCATAAGGAAAAGGAGAAGAAAGTTTTCATCACAAACACCAGAGTAGACCACCATCTTTATCTTGTCCAATCTCTTGAATTTCTCTTCCCCCAAAGTGCAAGGTTAGAGTCACCTTTCCTACCCTCTCCTGTCACATTACTCTGGGCCTCTGGAATTTACATCTTACACCATTCAGAATTCCCAACCGAAATTTCTCAGTTCTTTGCTATGTACTTTAACTCTGCTCAGCATGAGATCTTCGCTGCAGACTTAGACATGCAAATCTATTTACCTTCATGCCACTGGGTCAAGTTGGATTAAATTCTCTTTAAAGATCCTTCTATCTAGGGAACCAGCAGTTAGCGTAATGGCTATGTCGCTGGATTCCCATGTAGTCGACCGCGGTTCGTGTCCCGGACCCGGTGGCTTAAAATTCACGCCGGGTGTGTGTGCGTGCGTGCCCAAGATCCCGAGAGGAGAATGGAGGAGAAGGGATTGCGGCGTGACCATCCCCCCTGGGGGGTGATTTCTCGCTTTCTGTCTCTATGTCTCTCTCTGTCTGTCTGGCGAGCGCACGCGCCCTACAGTGAAAATCTCTCAAAAAAAAAAAAAAAATGATCCTTCTATCTAAAACATTCTGTGATTTCAAGTTTCCAATGTGACAGTCCTATAGGGTGAGAAAAGATCTGGATTAATAGGAAAGGATATAGCGAATAGAATCTACGAGCATACAAATTGAAATTAATACTAATAATTCCTCTCTCATGATGCTAGTTACAGACGGAAATGAAACAGAAATGAATGCACTGCTGACAACCCATTCATATTGTCTATTTTTTCCAAATACCATTCAAGAGACTCACTATCAAAAGAAGCTTAATTTAAGGATATGAAACCAAACTTTTTTAAGCTTTTATAAAACAAAGGTTGTAGGGAACCAGCAGTTAGCGTAATGGCTATGTCGCTGGACTCC